CACACACACACACACACACACACACACACACACACACACACACACACACACACACACACACACACACACAGTGTCCAAGAGCTTATAGCTCAATCCTGCAGGCACAAATAGTAAATACACTCACATTTACATTATACATTACATATTATATACAATTTATAAATTAGCCCTTCAGTTTCCCCCTTTCCTTCACCAGGAAACAGTTCGTTGTTTTCCAAACTGAAATTCATAGTTGCGTGAATGAAATATTGTTGAAGTACATCAATAGTATAGTTGAGGTACTTAGGACCTCTGGCGTCAAGATCAGCCAAAGGTCCTACCGCCTTAAAAACCACGTGTTTAACACTGTTGCCTTCAGTTGAAGCCTTGTGGGTAATTTACGGGCTTAGAAGTCAATTTACGGGCTTAGAAGTCAATTTACGGGCTTAGAAGTCAATTTACGGGCTTAGAAGTCAATTTACGGGCTTAGAAGTCAATTTACGGGCTTAGAAGTCAATTTACGGGCTTAGAAGTCAATTTACGGGCTTAGAAGTTCTAATTTGCTTAGAAGTAAGTCACGTTCATGACGCCATGCATTCTAAATTTAAAAGCAAGCCACTTACAGAAGACGTCATGCAGTCAATGTTTAGACGCAAGCCACTTACAGAAGACGTCATGCAGTCAATGTTTAGAAGCAAGCCACTTACAGAAGACGTCATGCAGTCAATGTTTAGACGCAAGCCACTTACAGAAGACGTCATGCAGTCAATGTTTAGAAGCAAGCCACTTACAGAAGACGTCATGCAGTCAATGTTTAGAAGCAAGCCACTTACAGAAGACGTCATGCAGTCAATGTTTAGAAGCAAGCCACTTACAGAAGACGTCATGCAGTCAATGTTTAGACGCAAGCCACTTACAGAAGACGTCATGCAGTCAATGTTTAGACGCAAGCCACTTACAGAAGACGTCATGCAGTTAATGTTTAGACGCAAGCCACTTACAGAAGACGTCATGCAGTCAATGTTTAGAAGCAAGCCACTTACAAAAGACGTCATGCAGTCAATGTTTAGAAGCAAGCCACTTACAGAAGACGTCATGCAGTCAATGTTTAGACGCAAGCCACTTACAATAGACGTCATGCAGTCAATGTTTAGAAGCAAGCCACTTACAAAAGACGTCATGCAGTCAATGTTTAGAAGCAAGCCACTTACAGAAGACGTCATGCAGTTAATGTTTAGACGCAAGCCACTTACAGAAGACGTCATGCAGTTAATGTTTAGACGCAAGCCACTTACAATAGACGTCATGCAGTCAATGTTTAGACGCAAGCCACTTACGGTAGACATCATGCGATCAAAATTTAGATGCAAGCCACTTACAGAAGACGTCATGCAGTCAATGTTTAGACGCAAGCCACTTACGGTAGACGTCATGCAGTTAATGTTTAGACGCAAGCCACTTACAGAAGACGTCATGCAGTTAATGTTTAGACGCAAGCCACTTACAGAAGACGTCATGCAGTTAATGTTTAGACGCAAGCCACTTACAGAAGACGTCATGCAGTTAATGTTTAGACGCAAGCCACTTACAATAGACGTCATGCAGTCAATGTTTAGACGCAAGCCACTTACGGTAGACATCATGCGATCAAAATTTAGATGCAAGACACTAACTTAAGACGTTATACTACAACTGAATTCTACAGCCATAACCCTGAACCTTATGCAAAGAATACTCAAGGCTTATATTCGTTTATACAAATTACTTTGAAGCATATTATTAGCTCGAAAACCCCGGAAATACTCAATCTTGTAGCCTGTTGCCCGGTTCTCGGTTCTGGCCTGTGATTGGTCGGTGGGGCACGCTTCTTAAGGTGAGACCAACCACCATATGTTCAATCGTATTCTTCAATATTTGGGAGAAAATCCGAATTGATAAGAATTGTAAATTGCTTAAATTAAGATTACGGGTATTAGGGTATCTCTTGGATCATTGGATAGTGGAGAATGTGTGGAGTGTATTGGCTAATAAACCAGTGGTGGCAAAGATGGCAACTGTGCCGAGGGTGAGGCGGGCATGCGACCAAGTGTTGCCAAACAAGTTTTTGTTCTTGGAATCATATCTTTCCCTTGAGTGGTGCTTGACCCAGCACTGCAAGCCCGGCCAGCAAAACCTTGTCTCTAACACGCACGCTTTTTTGCTTTGAATACTGAGCACATTTTCGGCGCTACAAAGAACGATTAATTAAGAGAGACCTCAAGAGGCTATGGTACAACTGTTGGACTCAAAATGCGATATACATCGCATGGTACCATGCGTGTTTACGTCGTAAGTCCAGCTTTGTTTTTGTTTTATAAAGTACACTGAAAAAGAGGTCACGACCTCTCCTTAGGGTGCAGTCGCACCTCCACAGATCTCCAGTATCAGCTCTTGATACTGGTAATGGCTCCAAAGGGCCACCACTTACGAGCTATTCATGCCCGTGCCACCTCTTGGGTGGCTTAATCTTCATGAATCAATCTAGTACACTGAAAAGGTTAAACGCTTGTAGTACATGACCCGTACTCGGGGGATGGCAACACACAATTAGTTTTTGACAATAATATTAATATTTACTCCTAATAATTCTTTTCTCGTGCATATAGCGATGGATTAGAATCAATAAATAGTATCTGCATGTACACTGATCAAGCAGATCAAGACCCATATAACCAGAGACAGACAATACAACAGGCTCTCCTGGTGTAGCAAGTCAGTGAATAGCAACACTCAGAGAACCAAAATAAACCCACTGACAGTACAATAGAGCACGAAAAGCACGCAGACAGAGAAAGAAAAGCAAGGAGGGAGACACAACAGAGGAAAGCGAGGAAACATTAGCTTGAAACAAGAATCAATATTTCCTCTACACAGTGCAAAAAATACTTGGATAACATAATTGACCTACGGAAGCGGCGCTGGAGATTAACTCGGGGGATGGTTGATACGAGTAATGTCCTGCCTAATTGGTCACTAGGGAATAGCAACGTGGCTAACGTTAGGAAAGATGAGGTGGACGAGAGAGCTTAGCTAGACATGGGTGGCATAACGGAGGAGAGATGTAGAAACACATGGGAAGACCCCCCGGACATCTCCGTGTGACAGGAACGCCAGATTTTCTTTAACATATGAAAGCAGCAAGTCGGAACAACCCCAAGCAGCCTATTAGAGGTGAAACACTAACAATCATTAAACAGAAACGGAACTAAAATAATTCATTGTGTCGAGGGACAGGCAGCCAAAATATACATATATACATGTTAGGCCTATTTCGAGGTCCCTCCCCCAAGGTCGTACTAATGACTCTTCCCAGGATGCAACCCTACAAGTTGACCAACTCCTGGGTACCTATTTACTGCTAGGTGGACAGAGGCATTAGGTGATAGGAAACGCGCCCAACCATTTCTGTCCCGCCTCGGATTCTAATCCGGAATTTCCGATTGTGAGTAGAGAGCGAACCCATCTGTACCACCGGGTCCCTAAGAGCTTATCTCACGAGGATTGAATGTACGTCCATTTAATTCTGGACTATTTTGGCTGTTATTTGTTGTTTAAGATTCGCTACCTGGAACAAAAAGTTCCAAGTAGCACGGGCTATGGTGAGCCCGTAGTTGTTCTAATATTTTGGCGTGTCCTTAAATGAGCGTGCGGACGCTGCCGCTGAGGAGGCTATTTACACTTGTCCCATCTTCCGTAAAGGTGTCCCCCTATTCCGACATCTACCCGGTTATTCATTCCTCAATCCTTGCCTGTTGGCAGGGTTATTGATCTTCTGTTACTGGTAACAAACTGCTCTTAAGAGTAGTGTGTGTCTGTGGCCTTCCTCCTACCACCGTAACCGGCGGTGGGAAACGGCTCGGGCAAGGTTGCATATTGGCCATACACGGTTTAACTCACGGGCACTAAATTGAGCACCGCCCTGCTCATTATTGTCCAAACTGCATTGCCCCTCTTACGGTCGTGCATATCCTTGTTGCATGTCCGGACTTCCAGGACGAACATGTCTTGCTTCCCGACCGTCTCTCGCGGTCACTTGTCCCTCGATAGAATTCTTGGTGAATCGGATACCTTCAATATCGTTCGCCTTATGGGCTTTTGTTCTCGTATTGGCATCCTTGGTGATATTTAGCGCCCTCTGATTATCCCGCACATTTGATGGTGCTACATAACCTTCCCGGCTTGGTGCCTTCTTTTTATAATTACTTGCTTAATTCTACGCTAAACTAATAATAATAACCCATATTTGATGGTGGATAGAATAGGACAGAAAAGGGGTTTGTTAACGATGGAGGGTAGAATAGAGCTAGGCAAGGCAAAGTCAGAGAGAACAAGAGAACAGGACAGGTCGAGGTAAAATAGGTTAGAGAGCGTATGATGATGATAAGTATAGGAGACGGTAGAGGATGCCGCAGGATGGATTGACCAGAGGGAGGTCAAGAAGGAATAGGTGAAGGATGAGGGAGGACAGGATAAGAGGGGTAAAGGCAGGCAGGAGAGGGCCCGGGGACAGGGCAAGAGAAAGACCAGGACAGAGAGTGCCCAGGACAGGGCAGGAGAGGGCCCGGGGCAGGGCAAGAGAGAGACCAGGGCAGAGAGTGCCCAGGACAGGGCAGGAGAGGGCCCGGGGCAGGGCAAGAGAGGGACCAGGGCAGAGAGTGCCCAGGACAGGTCAGGAGAGGGCCCGGGACAGGGCAAGAGAAAGACCAGGGCAGAGAGTGCCCAGGACAGGTCAGGAGAGGGCCCGGGACAGGGCAAGAGAAAGACCAGGGCAGAGGGGGCCCAGGACAGGTCAGGAGAGGGCCCGGGGCAGGGCAAGAGAGGGACCAGGGCAGAGAGTGCCCAGGACAGGGCAGGAGAGGGCCCGGGGGGGGGGGCAGGACAGGACAGGAGAGTGTCGGGGCATGGCAGAAGAGAGCCCGAGGGCAGCAGCTGGTGACTTCCCAGCGTGTAGATGCCCGTGGCCGACAGTATAACTTGGGACGCGGGCCGGGCCGGTGTGGCGTAGCACAGGCCACACATCTCTACGGTTAGTGCCTCCTCCTCCTCCTCCCTTCCTACCTTCCTTCCTCCCTTAATTATCTCTTCATCTCGATAACTCTTATCTCTCACCATCACCACTGCAGCATCACCGATGTTCGCTTGCCCACTGATGTATCGGGCTTCGGTGCTTTACTTCAAGTGGACGTCAAAGAAGGCATACGCCTTAAATCTGACCCTTGACCCGGCAGCGAGAGGGGGCTAGATTGAGCTTTCTGTCGAGCAAATCACGTGAGAGGTGGCTTGGTTGAGGCAGCTGGTAGTGGAGACAGGTAGGGCAGGTGGAGGCAGGTAAGGCAGGTGGTGGTAGCGGCAGGTGGTGGCTGTTGTTGAATACCTCGCCTGGGCCATCACCTGCTTCTTGCACACGGGAGGCAGTTAGTCTTCCACGGCATCCACTCTTCTCCAGTGCTGGTCCCGGATGCTATACCCCTCACACACGGTGCTGTAGTGCGTCGCGGGTCTACGGTGGTTCGACACTCGTACACTTTTCATAAGGAACGCAGCGAGGTGTTCACTCCACTTGGAAGCTTGGACTAACAGACGCTTTCCAGAGCGCATAACTTCATGTAGGTATGTTGTTGATACGATTTTGTTTGTCCAAGTGCTTAATACTGCCTCAGACGTCATGTAACTATGTCGACGCCCGTGATTGTGAGTGCGCTAGTGAGTGTATGCTGCAGTGTGTGTGTATGCGAGAGTGAGCGTACTCGCGCGTGATTGCTGGAGCGTGTGTGCGAGAGTGAGCGTACTCGCGCGTACTCACCTAGTTCTACTTGCGAGGTTGAGCTTTGGCTCTTTGGTCCCGCCTCTCAACCCTCAATCTACTGGTGTACAAATGCCTGAGCTTCTCGAACTCTTATCTTATCTACATTTGAAAATGTGTATGGAGTCAGCCTCCACCACATCACTTCGTAGTGCATTCCATTAACTAACTACTGACACTGAAAGTTCTTTCTAATGTCTATGTGGTCATTTTGGGTACTCAGCTTACACCTGTATCCCCTTGTGCGTGTACCACCAGTGTTAAATAGTTCATCCTTGTCTACCCTGTCAATTCCCCTGAGAATTTTGTATGTGGTGATCATGTCTTCCCGAACTCTTCTGTCTTCCAGCAACGTGAGGTGCGGTTCCCGTAGCATATCCTCGTAACTCATGTTTCTTAGTTTTGCGTGTATGCTGAAGTGTGTGTGCGTATGCGAGAGTGAACGCACTCTTGGGCGTATGCTTCAGGGCATTTAATGGAATGTGAGAGCGCTCTTGCGTTCGCACGGGTTCACTCGCAAACGTAATTTTGTGAACGGTGTAAGGAAAGCTGTATTTTCCCACAAAAAAAAATCATTTATATTCTGGTTGTGTGTAGTTAGTCGAAAAAAAGGCTTATCAGTGAAACTGATGATATAGTTTTATAAGTGTTAAAATATATATATTAGCCTTTGTATATTTGGCTGCCTTATGGATAAGCCTAAACAAGGTTTGGTAACGTATTTTGGTTGCGTTAATTTAGGGAGTGTTGGATTTAGGTTGGGAGTGAATGACGCCCTTCTCGGTTCATGGCTAAAGCCCGTATAGAGTCATAGCTTCGATGAGCATAGCTGTGAGGACGGAGAGGGAGCTTAGAGCTGAGGATAGGTTGAAGTAGGATATGTGCTCTGTAGTTAAGTCAAACCTGAGGTGCAGACAAAGCAGCCGAGGAGAAAGGAGGAGTATAGCTGTCCGCTCCTTGCGCGCGCTCTCTCTCTCTGCATCCCTGCTCTCTATCTCTCTCCCTCTCTCTCTTTTTAGCTCTCTCTATCTGTCTCCCTTTTTTTCTTTCCCTCTTTCTCTCTCTCTCTCTCTCTCTCTCTCTCTCTCTCTCTCTCTCTCTCTCTCTCTCTCTCTCTCTCTCTCTCTCTCTCTCTCCTCTCTCTCTCTCTCTCTCTCTCTCTCTCTCTCTCATTCATGGCCTGGAGACGCTATCATTAAGCACAATTTCCTCAGATAATCACCAAGATACTGCAATTTTCTTGCAAGTCTGATAAGGGTCTGAGCCGTTTTTACCCGCGTGATGTTATTCCTGCGAGACAAATGGTCAGAAATTATTAAAAGTAGCAACAGATCATTGAATGTGTTAATACAAGGTCTTGAGGGAAGGCAAGCAAGACCACACAAACACTGGAAGGTGTGAGTTTGAAAACTAAAGTGTTTGTTAGCCTCTGTTTTACCTCTCGATATATTGGGGAAAAGTCATTTATAGTTCTTTGAATTTAAATCTTTTTCAAAATATTTTAGAGGTCATTGTTAAAGAGTTTTGTATAATTTAACATTCAAGTCCTCTTTCTTTCTCTCTCTCTCTCTCTCTCTCTCTCTCTCTCTCTCTCTCTCTCGCTCTCTCTCTCTCTCTCTCTCTCTCTCTCTCTCTCTCTCTCTCTCTCTCTCTCTCTCTCTCTCTCTTCTCTCCTCTCTCTCTCTCTCTCTCCTCTCTCTCTCCTCTCTCTCTCTCTCTCTCTCTCTCTCTCTCTCTCTCTCTCTCTCTCTCTCTCTCTCTCTCTCTCTCTCTCTCTCTCTCTCTCTCTCGACAAGATAATCTTTGTACTTTAGACGACTTATAACAAAGTATATTTATTAATCTTCTTCCTTCTGTAATAAATAATAAATTAACCTTCTCTAAACGGGTTTTAAACCTAAGAACACCAATATACCAAATTGCAGACTTTTTGGCTCCTACGAGGCTCAAATTTGTATCCACCAAAGTCATTCATATGTCTAATGTCCGCTTGAAACCAGGCATCAGCCCCACATCCATTATGATGCCTGGTAATTTCTTCTGGAATGTAAAAACCCTGTTTCCGAATCCAGTATTTGCTCAGATCTTTCCTGAGTCCTGAGGTGTCGGTATTTTTATATGAAAATAATAGTCAGGGGCTATCCTCTGCTCTGCCTGTCATTCCGCTTTGAGAGAGAGAGAGAGAGAGAGAGAGAGAGACAGAGAGAGACAGAGAGAGAGAGAGAGAGAGAGAGGAGAGAGAGGAGAGAGGGAGAGAGAGAGAGAGAGAGAGAGAGAGATAGACGAGAGAGAGAGATGAGACAGAGAGAGCCGAGAGAGTAGATGAGGAGAGAGGAGAGAGAGAGAAGATCTGAGAGAGAGAGAGAGGAAGATGAGATAGAGAGGAGAGGGAGAGACGAGAGCAGAGAGGAGAGGGATTGACCGAGAGAAGAGAGGAAGAGAATGACCGTACTGAGGAGGAGGGAGAGAGACGAGAGGAGGACAAAGAGACTGAATGAACTTAGAATCCTATAACAGGATGCATTGAGGACTTGCAGAGTAAGAATGACTATCTTCCTCGGGTCGAAAGATGTGCTAGTTATACCAAAAAAAACTCGTTTTCTGTTATTTTACAGTCTCGATACAGTGGTCGCTTGACTTGCAGATAACCAACGAGCATTATTACTCTCACACAGCTCGTTATTTACTGTGGAAGGTTGACCAGTGTGGAGGTGAAGGTGGGGGGGGCTTTCTTTAGTGGATTTTCCTTGTTGTTCGTCCTTTCATTCTTTCCTTTGCAACGTCTATTTGTTGCTGTTCATCTTCTTCTTGTGCTTCACTACCATGAATGTACGGCAGAGGGTCATAACTTGCTGGGATGTGAGAGTTTAGTGTGTGTGTGTGTTTGACGTGACTCGAGTATGTTAGTGGGGGAGAACTGAGGAGACCAAGATGTTACCTGTTGATTACACAGTTAAGACAAGGAGTGGGATTGTCACCGACAGTAGTAGTAGTAGTAATAACGGTACTAGTAACAATAGTAGTAATATTCATAAGTGAGTAGTGGTGATCATGGAGAGGCCGTGATTAGCATAGGTCGGCAGGCAGGCAGGCTGCTAATATCCTACAACCCCTCCCAAACCCCCCAAACCCCCCAAACCCCTGTTAAAACCCCCACACCTCCGCCTGGGCGAAGTCCTCTTTCTTGAGTTTTTTTTTTGTTTTGCTCCTTCGGGGTTTGACAGCTGTACCCACCGCCACCTGCCTGGAACCCCCCCACCACCTGCCTCAACCCCCACCACCTGCCTCCGCGACCACTCCCCCACCATCTGCCTCCGCGACCACTCCCCCACCACCTGCCTCGACCCACACCACCTGCCTCGACCCCCATCACCCCCTCCAACCCCCCTCCCCCTCTCGACCAACCCTTCCTCTTCACACCATCGCTTCTGCTCTCACCTCCTCCCCCCCCACCCCACAGACCTCCACCTCCCCCCCCCAAACAATTATATACAAGTTATCTTGAGGTTATCTTGAGATGATTTCGGGGCTTTAGTGTCCCCGCGGCCCGGTCCTCGACCAGGCCTCCACCCCCAGGAAGCAGCCCGTGACAGCTGACTAACACCCAGGTACCTATTTTACTGCTAGGTAACAGGGGCATAGGGTGAAAGAAACTCTGCCCATTGTTTCTCGCCGGCGCCTGGGATCGAACCCAGGACCACAGGATCACAAATCCAGCGTGCTGTCCGCTCGGCCGACCGGCTCCCCTATACAACCACAATCACCCATCATTTATCACCACCAGTACCCAACACCACCATCCCCACCATTCACCACCACCATTACCCACTCACCATCTATCCCAACTATTCCATTCCATAATCTATAACTTCATAAGCAAATATTACTCGAATGTTATGATTGGTAAGGAATCTCCCCCCCCCTCCTTCAATTTCAGCAAACAATCCTGATTTCTGCGCAAAGCAACTTCCCACCCCGTCTACCTCTAAGATGCCACATCTACCATTAAGATGCCACATCTACCACCATAACCCCCTCCCCCCCCCCGCTACATCTACACCCACCACTCCATATCTACCCCATTACCTCTACATGTATCACCATTACCCAATATCTTCCAGTACACGCCCCACACCTACCCCACATCAACCACTACGACCCCCACATCTACTACTACGACCCCCACATCTACCACTACGACCCCCACAGTGTTAGTATCGGGA